CGGATGTCAATGAAACTCAAAATTAATCAATCAGTGTACTTTTAGAATCAGCATACGGCTGGGTCCATACCTATTTGGAGATTGACACAAAGTTTGTTTTTTCACCCATTTACTGAAACATATTCAGGTTATAGTTATATAATGTWCATGGACATAAAGTCCAGACATTCAGCTTTCATTTGAGGGTATCCACATTAAAATTGGATGAAGGGTTTAGGAGTTTCAGCTTCTTATGTTCTACCCTGTTTTTAAACGGACCAAAAGTAATTGGACATTTGACTTAAAGGCTATTTTATGAGTAGGTGTGGGCAATCCCTTTGTTATGTCATTCTACATTAAGCAGATAAAAGACCGAGTTGATTTAAAGTGTGGTGCTTGCATTTAGAAGATTTTGCTGTGAAGTTTGGTACGCCTCAAGAACAAAAAGGCAAGATTGGACTTTGCTGTAAAACATCTAAAAAAGCCAGCAGAGTTCTGGAAGAACATTCTTTGGACAGATGAAACCAAGATCAACCTCTATCAGAACGAAGGAAAGAGAAACGTATATCAAACTTGACATACATGCATGTGATCCAAAGCATACCACATTAAAAGTAAAACATGATGAAGGCAGTGTGATGGCTTGGGCGTACGTGGCTGCTCATGGCCCGGGGTCACTAGTGTTTATTGATGATRTGACTCAGGACAGAAGGTCAGATRAATTCTGAGGTATTCAAAGACATACYGTGTACTCAAATCCAGCCAAACAGATTGGTTAGCATTTCAAAATATTCTATAAGCCACTGGACAGATTTCCATGAAACAAAACGCACTTCAGAAGACAGTACCGCTAGCAGAACAGCTGAAACCATGTTGATGCTCTGGCAGTTAATAAGTCACCAATGTAGATGCTCCCTTACCATGCTCAAATACGCTTTAAGAGAACATTAAAAGGTGCAAAATCAAAAGAGGCGAGGAAAAAAAACTCAGCTGCTCTGATGTGTTGTCACTCAAGCTGCTGARAGCAACAGGATTCGCAGAATGGCTCTTGCCCCTTGTTACGTTGCACATAAAGTACATCTTTTTACAGTTACAAGTTTCAAAATAACCTGTTATCACTGTTGTTTCTSTTCTTCTGCATACTTTAAGCTGACAAAGTTTGTATTTATTTCCTCCTCTGCACATACGTGTCAAGTTGAAATCACACAAATTTTCCCCAGTTTTGCATGTATACAGATGTATAGGGGAAATCTTGCCAATTTTTTCTTTGGCTGAAATTTATTTAAGTCTCAGATAACGTTGTGAGGAAATGCTAAATTCGCCACCTCCGTGTCCACCCTCCCTGCTCCTCTGCCTCTGCAGACTCCATTATATCCGCCCCCACACCATCACCCCAAGGCTGACAGTCCACTTCACCCCCACTGCACCCCAGTTGTATTATGTGAGAGTACGACAGACTTTTTATGTGAAAATGACTGATTTCTGAGGGTAAAGACAGATAAACATCCGAAGGGGTTGACATAGCAGATCTGCACATGGATTGTTTACAATAAAGCTTTTGTAAAAAAAAAAAAAAAAAAAACACCCAAAAGAAGTCTAGCTATGATGCTTTGATTTAAGAAACCCATGGCTGAGTGTTCCCTGATGGTGTCTGCATCTCCCCTTTCCGCCATCGTGTGTCTTCTGAATGGACCGAGGTGGTCAGGGAAAGCAACAGTAACAGACTGGGCCATTTTCTGAAAATAATCCATGGCTGTAGTTCAACAACTGATTAACTTTTGAGAGTCAACTCAGTTCAAAGTATTTTAAAACAAATGAAACATAAAATGATTTTCGTTRAAAACTATGCAATAGATGACACGCAATCATTAAAGGAGAGCTAGGTATCATACATGACTCCATCTCATCTTACTGCTTTTTTTATGCACAGCTAAGCATCATTCAGTTTGGTAAAAAAAAAAAAGTCACATCTTATTTTACGCTTTTCAACRGTATCATGTTGCTTCAGCACAGATGCCCCTGGTAGATTTCAATCCAAAACCTGTGGAAGCGGCACCTTTAYGGACCTGCAACAAGATGTTTGAGTTTTTTCTTTTCTTTTTTTAACCAGTAGCATGCATTTGAAATGGACAAGAATTTAATTATTTTTGTCAAAGGGTACTTTCTTGCCTGTGGGGCGGTGGAGAYGTTGCTGAGGTTGCATCTCAAAGACATCCTCTAATGCGTGACTGCATATATTAACTGAAACTGAAATGTCAGCTGTAGAAGTTTCTTAATAACCCATTTTCCCCATAAAAGTAGCAAGAATCTAAACTTCAATCTTGTAATTTAATCCAAAACAGCTAGTTAACATTGAAGGCTTAGCATTGCTTAAGCTTGTTGCTTGCAGCCTTTCAAACAACAAACATTACCTTCTGTTCAAAAATGACAAAATTTTAACTAAATTTGGTCAAATCTCAAAGCATAATCTGTAATCGATCAGAGTATGTGTTGTAAATGATTTTTAGCTACAACCAAAAACAATGTTTACTGTACCTGTTTATCGACAGAAAGTGCAGGGATAGGATCCGGGTGGTCCAGTATTGGTATTTTACCTCCAATAAAATACTTGGAGTAGACATTAAGTATATATA